TGTTGGAAAGATGTTTTTATTTCGGTGCTTTGACTTGTCAATTTTTAAAAACATATCATATAATACCATGAATTCATATAAAACTCTTATAGCTACACTATAACCCTATGTCATTACCACGATAGTGTCTTCCCCTTATCAATACAATTATTCTCGGTCTAGGGACTATGTTGAAGACATTCATTATCCTTCTAGGCAAGTTAACTTAAAACTATGGGATTTTGATTGTGTGGCTGGTCTCGAATCATTTTTTGATTGGCTCGATAATCTTGAAAAGTTCTTTTAACTTTCATAACTTGAGCAACTCCCGTCATATTTGTCATGCCAATGTCACTTTTCGGATGTATTAGGTGTTATTGGAAGCAGTCTTTGCGTGACATTGATCGCCTAGGTCAACATCCATCACTATAAGATGAAACGAGTATTAAGTAATAAATAAACCCATGTATATTATTGAACTAGATCAATTCTTTTTGCTCTATAGGTAAGGTAAATCTACAGTTAGCGGATTTTTAGCCCGCTTCGAAGAACTATTGCACAGTTATGATATTTATGAAGCTCCCACGTCATAGCGTTTAGGTTTCTCAATTGTTTGAATTTTGAAATTATGTGTGTTACGACATTCTTACTCCCCAATCTTTAGATGAAGCTTATTGGTTGGCCAATCTATGATTATATATCCTTTCGTCGTTGCCAAGCATGTCATACGCTAGGTCTCCCACCCTATTCCCGACAGTCGCTTCCCCAAGTTTGGTTGTGTTACTCCTCATCATGAGGAAGAAAATTAAATTTTTATTGTTGAGCCTATTGAATAGTCTAATAGCGAGGATGAGTGTTTCAGCATAATTGACCATGAAACAAGTGATGATTTACCTATAGCATAGCCACCTAAATATGTAAAGTAAAAGTTTGTGGATCATTTATTTGAAATTAATCTATTTGATTGGTCATCACACTTCAATGAAAGTTTTGTTTTCAATATAGCATAATTGCTTCCTTATTTGGACACATTTGAGCCACCATTGTTGCAATAATTTGTTACCGCATTCCAATCTACTGTAACGACTCTTATGCTCCTCATTCTGTGAAGTCAATTGATGTTTTTGTGGATGCATCGCACCATATGTTACTTTTCAGAGTTTGTTATCGGTATTTGGTTCATAAAAAAGATCATCTCCTTGGTGTACGAGTTTAGCATATGTTGCTATCAAGAGTTCAATATCGACACTTGGGTCAAGACAAAAGATTGACCTCCTTTGGAGTATGAAGTTTTAGTCTATCTCGCTGGAGTTGAGTAATTTCAGTCGAGGAGAAATTATGGAAATTCTAGAAGATTATTATATGCATACTTTCTATGTTTAGATCCTTATTTTAGGAAAAGTTAAAAGGGTTTATTTACTAAGAGCATGTTTGAGCCCCATTTTTTTTTTTTTTTTTACCAAAAATGCATTTTAAAATAGTAATTTGATGAAGAATGTGTGGTTAAAAATAAGAGAAAGAAAAATGTATTTTAGAAATAATGGGGACCAAACAAGGCCTAATTTTCTAAGATTTTATTATATTTATTTACTAAATTCTATAGGATTTGATTAGATGTTTCTTGCTTGTAATAGATTTTTTGAAACCTTTCATAAAAGGAGCATGTGCATTGTAATATATACAACTTTAATAATAAAATAAACTTGATATTCTCCCCCTAATTTCTCTCTATTGTCTCCCTCCTCTTCTCTTTCTCCTCTCTTCCTCTTTCTTTTCTCCTCAATTGTTCTTTGTTCTCAACCTTATTCTTGTTTGTTGCATCCTCATCACGTATCTCTACTACCAACCTGCAACCCCTGTCCAGCCTCCTTCCGTCCAGCTCTACTCCATCAACATGCACCACATGTCTCATTTTCTCACTATAACTTCCTCTCAAATCTCTTGTTATGACACGATGGTTTGGGGTGTGGTCCATTGTGAAAAATGGAAGAACTGATAAGGAAAATTTAAATACTTAAGTTGGTATAGGAATTGGTTGGCATGAATTTGTTACCCAAAATCCTGAATGGCTCGAAAGTTTGTGTGAGACATGCAACATAGCCAGAGGTAAACTGTTCATATTTGCTGAAAAAATAATAATATTTCCTTAAATTAGTTTCATCTGAGATTTTTCTTTCCTTTTTGTAAAGAAGAAGATCGAAATTAACATTATATCAGCTTGATGATCCCTTGAATATTCAAACATACTTTATCTACCATTGATATTTCTTATATCTTTATGTATCTTTAATTTATAAATGAATAAAAATGAGTCATGGATAAGTTGGGGTAGTACTTGTGGAACTCATGAAACGTGTGGATAAAAAATAATTTGACCATTTATAAACATTGGCCAAATATTGATTATGTTCTTATAAGTTATGTGCCCTATGGCATGTGTTGATGAAAAGTATGTTTGATCGGCTTAAATTATAATTTAAGATTTGCTAAACATGCATTACGTTATCTCAAAGATATTTATGTAGGTTCTGTTCATTGCCCACCAATTTGTCTGCGCTCGTTTTATCATCTTTCTTTTAGTACAACTGACAGGATCGACATATTGAAGATGGAGACGTTAACCATTGCTTCTCCCTCGTTTCTTGCAGTTGAAACAATTTCCTGCTAACACTTGAATATGGAGTAGCACAATGGAAAGGTCACTGACTTGACAATGTTGCGTCGAATTTCTGTTTAAAACTATGAATGTAATTAACTACAGAAATCCATGGATATTGGCTTTGCTGTAATGACTCAGTCTCTTCTTGTGTAACACTTGAGTTATGTGTAGTTATTCTGATTTAGGTATTCTTGTGCAGATCTTGTTTCCAGTGAAATGTTACCTTATAGTTGTGTTTTCTTTAATTATCTTGACATTGGTCCCACTAAAGGTCCGTTTGATTGCAAATGTAGAAAATTGGTGGAAAGAAAATGTTTTATAAGGAATTGAATTGTCTAGAAATTGTTTTACCGAGAATTGTAATTAATTGTGTTTGATTTGTATAATTTTTCACCTGGAAAATGTTGAAAGTTTGATATTCGTTTGACTTCGTTTTTTATTAAAATTGTCCATTAAAGTGATAATTTTTTCTACCATTGGATCTAGAATTTGTTCCAATTGCAAAAATTAAAAAAAATTATCATACCGAATACCATTCATTTGACTTTGTTTTTCATGCGAATTGTCAATAAAAGTGATAAACTTTTTTTATCATCTCATTGCCAAAAAAAATAAAAAATTGATTTCTACAAAATCAAGGAAAATGTGAGCATGCAAGTCAAACCAAGAAAATTTTTTCCATGAAAAAAAAAGTGTACAAGGCAAAAGTGAAAGTTGAAATTTGTTTTCCATTTTCCATGGAAAATAATGGCCTATCAAACAGGTCCTAAATATTTATTTTTCATGCTTCATTAGTGTTTTCCAACAGCATGTATAGCTTGTCGTACTGAATAAAATTAAAGAAAAATGATAAAATTTCATCTATTGGACCATAGTGTCTATCATACATGCCCCGAGTTTTTGTTATTCATTATTGGCGTAAAAAAATATTTCGAATTTTAGTTGGTCTCAATCCTGAATAAGGACTTTGTAACGTTCATCACATATAAGAAATATGCTTTTCTTTTACGTCGTACATGCAAGTTGTTACGTAGATTATACAAGAAATGTAGTTAAACGCTATTTTTAGTCTTTTTATAAAAAATACATATATAAATTTACAATCCATTTCTAATGAAGCTTCACAGAAAGTTACAAATGAAAGAGAACTTCAACACGAGGGAAAAAAGAATGAATTAATGAGATAAATACTAATTAAATTTTGAAGTTTTTTCTACAGAAGGAAAGAATAATGGGGCATATGTAGAAATAAGGGACAGACTTTTCAAACAGGGCAATATTCATTATGTCTTGATCAATTATACGATTATATACAAAATTTAACGGAGATTTTAACTTGTTTGAATTTTTTTTTCTCAACAAGTTCTCAACTGTATTCGAAAGCGAACTATTAAATTTATTTAGTTTTAATTTTTGTCTTGCTTTCATATAAAGAATCTTTGCCTCTTTCACACCAGTCTTTGATTTTATCGTCGCCTATGGAATAAATAAATCGCCAAAACTATGCTTCTGAGAAGCTTCATTGCAATCTAATGACAAGAACTAACAAAATAATTAGAAGTGATCAAAGGCTTTTGCTATCATTGAACTATTCTTTTCTTATTTAAGTTGTTCTTTAATAATTAAAATAAGTAAATAAGCTGTACTTTCTTGATACTGATCTCACACTTCATATTTTGTCTGCCGGGAATATTCCCCCTTGTCTGGTGCCAACCTTACATGTTTGAAATAGGATGAAGAAAGAAAGAAAGAAAGGCATGAGGATAAAATTTATGCTTGATATGCTCGACTCGATAGAATGAATTGAGAAAGGGAGAAAAATGATAAAAAAAAAAAAAAATTGTTCATTATTCTATCCAACCCTGTCTAGTTCTGCACATCAAACACGGCACAAAGTCTGTCCAACCCTGTCTAGTTCTGCACATCAAACACGGCACAAAGTCTGCCAACCAAAGTCTTCCACCGGTCGCTTTCTACTTGAGATTTTAAATCAAACCCTTCAGTCTAAACTTAAATTAAATCCAGTTGTAACCTTCTAATGTCTAATATTTTACTTAAGATCTCATAAAATATTCCTGCAATCCTCCAAACGCGTTTAACGTCTAAATCTATATTAATTGACCTAAAACACAGAGAAATCTATAGTTCCCATCAACAAACAACAATTTCTTGGCACTTCACCTGAACAAAACAATGGATTCTTGTTAGGTTTTAGCCTGGTCTATTCTGTTCTTCATTCTTTCAGTATACCAACCCACAATAATATTGAATTCTATTCTGCTTCTATTTGAAATCTTCAAAGTTCTTCTTACAACCTTAAAGCCTATCCACCAGCTTATGAATAGTCAGAAACATCAAGAATATGGGAAAGAGCACTGAGAAACATGTAATGATATCATCAGGAATGAAGGTATAAACACCGTTTTCATCATCTTCTATACAGTTAGTATCTTAAAGAAATTTTATGAGCATAAATTTTGAAATTCTGAGAGTTTTGTCATAACAGATGAATCAAGGGACGAAGGAGGCCGATATGAGAAAATCTTTCCTAAGTCCTGTACCAAAATCGCCGACAGAAAATGGCAGACCAAGCAGCATGATTATTAAGGTAAAACCGAAATTCCCAAGCGTTTCACGTATTTCCTGGGAAAGAGAAAGATTGTATCTAATTTCGTTTCTCTTTATCTTTTGAATTGTTTGAAATGAAACAGAAGGCTAAAATGGTGATTCCTGCTCACATAGTTGCAGAAGCTATATCAACACTCCATGGTCTTGATCTTAGATGGTCAGGACCCATAACCCCAACAGAAAAGCAATACATGGAACAATATGTTTTAGCAAAATACCCAGAGTACTCGAACGCCCTTGTAGAAGGAGGAGAAAAGATGGATCTATACGATCTTTGCATCAAAGAAAAGTTCTCGGTGCCCCAACCGGATGACAAGAGAAAATCACCCCGTGGTGTTCCCAGAGAATCATTTTGGCCGTCCTCTGGAATTAGCCTTCCAGATCTCGAGAGAACACAGTTGGAGCCGTCTCGACTGCTTTACATCCTCACAAAGAAATCCTCCTTCCATGGGAGCTTCATCTCGATCCCTGAAATTCAAGCTCGAAACAAAGTTCTAAACCACTTTGGACTATCAGACGAGGAGTATCTTGTTCTTTTCACTCAAAACAACAAGGATGCAATGATGTTAGTTGGAGAGAGCTACCCGTTCTTCAAGGGGAACTTCTATTTGACTGTAATCGGGGAAGATGCTGATTATGTAAGGGAATTTGCAGGCTACAAAGAATCAAGAGTGATTCCTGCACCAGAATCTTGGTTGGATTTGAGGATTAAAGGATCACAACTCAGCCAATACTTTAGAAGGAAATGCAAACACGCTCCAAAAGGACTATTTTCTTACCCGGCAGAAATGAATGGGACTCAACACTCTATGCATTGGATTTCAGAAGCCCATCGTAACTCTTGGCATGTTCTACTTGATGCAACTGCCTTGGTGGTGGGGGAAGATCGGCTAAATCTCATGCTCCACAGGCCAGATTTTGTGTTGTGCAGTCTTGATAATTCACATGCTAATTCTTCAACAATCACCTGCCTTCTCATTAGAAGAAAATCCTTTGACGTGTCAACGGCCTCAACTCAAGAACATTAGCAAGCATGTTCATACTCCTGTAAAAGCATTAAAGACAGGTGTCATAACTAAAAAATATCAAGTGATTGTGTTCATAAAGATATAAACTATAAAGATCTTCTGAATTGCTTAAGCAATAGTCTCATTTCGTGCAACAACTATCTAGATTGACCAATTACTGATCAATATGTACAATCCCTTGAAATTAGGAGAAATTTCCAACATACGAGCTGAATCACAGATACGAATCTTTGTTCATGGTTTCAAGTTTCTAACTTGCTTTGTAGCTAACAATGTATAGCAGACATAAATGTTTACCTTTATGGGGATGCATTACTAAAGTTTCGTTTTTTCGTTGAAGATCTTGGATGCTGTCTTTTGTCTCTAACTTTCTATGTGCCATCTGGAGGGATAATACGAGGAGGCGCACTATATTTTACTACATCCTATTGTGTGTCTCACAGGTTTTGGTAGTTGAGTGGGGTTTAGAGAGGGGGGAGGGGGAGGGGAAGGGTGGGCTCAATCAATTACATACGAGTTATCTTGCATTCTGTACAGAAAATAAATGCACCGATTTCAAGATGTACCATGCATAAATTAATGTTCCTTCAGCTGAAAATACACTAAAATTATGAAAGCATTCATCCAAGGCAAAGTGTCTTATTGACAACCATCAAACATTGAACCAAATACAATAATATTCGACAGGAGCAAAAACGACTTCTAATCAGACAAAGATCTACGAGATGCCAGCCAAGTACAGAGAAACGAGAAATCAAGTACAATATTCTTGCCATAAGTAAATAAAAATGAGACAACTAACTTGTAAACTGAAATTGGAAACCACCCTTGTTTTTGCCAGCTATAATTCTGAAAATAAAACATCTAATTCAGCTCCGTTGTTTCTGATACCAATACTTAGTTATTCCATCATCCTCAGTGATCACGTCTTTAAAGGCTCCCCCCATAAATCATAGGCAAGACATGCTCTTGATACGGTACAATCACATCCAATAAGTGTGGCCTGCGGGCATATCCAACATCTTCTGAATTGCAGTCCTGAGATCATCCTTCTTCGTCACACCAGCTGCAGGTATGTCACAACCCTCTGCAAACTTCAACATACTGGAAAGTTCTCCTACTCTTTGGATAGATTTCCAAGTGTGTGCCCTGTTAGACGTGTAGAATCGATCTTCCCACTGAACCACTATGCCCAAATGCTGATTTTTCAACAACATAATCTTGACAGGAAGGGTCTCTGCTCGAACTGTGGCCAACTCCTGCACATTCATGATGAAACTCCTGTCACCATCAATGTCGACCACAACAGCATCAGGTCTTGCAACAGCTGCTTCTATAGCTGCAGGGAGTCCAAGACCATATCCTCTAAACTGCCTGATGTAAACCACTGCCGAGGCCTATTGAACTTGTAAAATTGTGCAGCCCACATTTGAAGCTGCTCAACGCCAGTACTAACAACGGCATTCCCGTTTGTCAACTTGTCAAGAAGCTGAATCACATAATGAGGAATAGCATTTTCAAATGTCTTATAGCTCAATGGATAGTTCATCTTCTGCTCTTTAGCTCCTGCCTCCAGACTGAAAAATCCAGCTTTGCCTTCCCTCACCTTCCTTTCTCCTCCAATATCAAATTTAGACCCTCCAGTTCCAAATTGATATCGGAATGTATGGACAAATGTGGTATCTTATTCTTTTAATCTCAGCAGAATCAATATCAATGTGCACACTCTTTGCTCGGCTAGCAAATGCCTCCAGTTTCCCAGTCACGCAATCATCTTTCCCAGTCACTCTTGTCCACTGAATAATTTACCATAAATAGTCCCATGCATTCCAAGCATTTGCAACGAGAAGTCCTCATCCGATAAAGGATAAGAACCCAAACCCATCGGAGTACTCGCAACAGGGAACCCTGTAAGCTCGACAAATTTCCTCAATTCCTCACTCGAATTTAAACACCACCACCTACATACAGTACAGGCCTTTTCGACTCAGATATTAATCTCGCTATCTGCTCTAACATGTCACTTGGTAATATCGGCAACCTAGAAATGTACCTGCTAATCTCATAGGCTGATTCCAATTCACAAAGCAAATTTATCTTGGTTTGATGTAGAGGACATTCCTAGAATTCTGAAAGAAGTGTTTTTCACTGCGAAATCAGGTCGGCCTAGGCAGGTTTTAATCGACATTCCTAAGGATATTCAACAGCAAATGGTGGTTTTGAGCGAATGACCTCAACAATGGGGGTTTCCTGGAATGCATCAGTGCCAATCATTCGGCGAGGCACCTGCCCGGTAATGGTGACGAGTAGATACTATCGAGGAAGGCGTCTGCGAGGCCGAAAATCAAATGGTGGCGCCAGGACCAGAAGTGGCTATGCAAAAGCCGGGAGCCAATTAAATAAGAAGTTATTGTACTCACACATTATCAATAATTCTATATACAGTTTATATTGAAATTTTACAGTAAAGGGTACTGAAAAAATAGGACAGATTACAGAAAATCTTGAACAGAATGTTTCAATTTATAAAGAAAATGTTGTTGGAAAAAATGGTTTATTGGGGCTGTTTTGCCATAATTTTGATTTGTTGGGGGCTGTTTTGGCATATTTTTTAGTAGGACCGTTGGGTCATTTTGGAAGATCGAAGTTATATATTTACTTACAGAAAATGATAATCGGGTGAAAGAGAAATTGAAATTCAAAGATGACTGGTTGGAAAGGAGTTTAAAACTGGCAAGTTTAATATGCATGAAAGTGTGAAGTTTAAATGTTTTATACGTATGAAATTAGGTGCCGACAAAAAAAATATAATAGAAAGATTATAAAAGCAATGACCACTTTACGTATGGTTACACTTTAGAGTTTAATCAAATGTGGCATAGAAGTCTTTCTACATGTGCGCACATGGGTACAAAGAAGGAAAAAAAATTCTACATCAAACCTTAAACTTGTGTGTAAGCGTTACCTGTGTACATGAATATCGGATAGAACGGAGTAAAAATTGACCCCTTAAGAGTGCCCACGTTTTGCTATTATTTCTTTTTTTTTTTTTTTTCAAAAACCTTCCAAATTCTTTAATTGAAACTCCTGATTTATACTTGTATTAATGAAAATATTAACAATCGGATTAATGGTGATTAACGGCCATAATACCAGTAACTCATTTGTTAATTCCGTTATAGCCTACTTATACAGTCCATAAAACACGAAAAATACACTCTGCATATATAGTTTTCGTTTTCTAGTTTTATATCTTTCAATATTCCCAATTTTCGTCAAGAGTCTTGGTAATCCATTGAGATACATATTCAGTTTGTCGGTGTAGAAATTATAGTGCACAATTTCTACAGGATTTATCCTCTTTATCCTGTGAGACAGACACTCGATAAAACCTCAAGTACTAACGATGAGGAAGATAATCTGTTTTAAAGAAATTGTGTTTACACGGATCTCATTTTGTTGGTTTCTTCCCTATTAACGATTATACATTTCTGCAATTTATTTCAAATTCATGTTTTCAATTTTAATTCCCTGTTTGTTCATTGTACAATAATAAAATAGATAGAATAATCTGACTTTTTTGGAAAGATTTTGAATGAGTGGGGTGTGAGATGAAACACGTACATATTTTCCATTTTTGTAGTAAAAGTTTTGTTTTGTGCCCTTTTATTTAATGAGTCTGTGATGCTAGTGGGATTGCTAATTAATTAGAGACTGTATAATCTTAGTTAATAATCAGCATAATGTTTAATTGTTTTTATTGAAGAATAATTTCGATTATATCTATAAATCATGTGGTATGCACATGACAGAGGTATCATTTATTAAATGACTGAATATCGATGATATTAATAGGAGGCTTGTACCCATTTCACTATATATATTTAAGTTGATTTCAAAAATTCTAAATCCTAACTAGATCATCCTCACCCGTCTCTCTTGCACTCATTTTATTCCGTTTCGATAATTGATTTGATCGTTGGAGTGTAGATAGTCGTCGAACTTTTTTCTCGACCGGTGACATTTGCACTCTAATAGTATGTTCCAACGTATAAGTGATGTTTACGTAGATGGAGATGTGATCGAGATTATGTTAACCACTCGATCAAATAGATTTTGAAGTCAACAATTTCATTGTTAGAAACATGGAAAAATAATTAATCAATAATAGTGTAATGTTTTGGATAAATTGATTTAAAGCGAAACTATTTAGATTGAGGCAAGAAATCACAATGAGGGTTTTCAATGTGGAACTCCATGTTTCGATATCTATTGCATCTAGCATGTACTGGCAACAAATTAAAGGCTCGCTAACGTAGCGAAATATGATCTTATGTAATAAGGATAATTTAGCTTTATCAAGTATGAATAAAATGTCACGTGGCTATTATGGATTTGAATTGGCCCATGAAAAATATAGTTTGGAATGGGCTCGGACCGTCTTCCAAATTTGAGAACCGAATCGGTCCACAAACAAGTCAAATATTTCGTTTTGAGGAGTCTCATTCATCATTTTTTTATTTTTTTTAGAACTTAATGCGATTTAAAGTAAGTCATAATTTATAAAATATTTACTATGTTGGAGATTAGAGTTTTGAGTGAAAAATGTAGTTTTGGTCGGCAAAATTAATTTAAAAAGTATTTACCATCAAAATTAATTTTCAAAAATACAAAATTATCAATCAAGCTCGACAACTGATACGAACGACGGATCAACTCGTGAATCAATGTGAACCAAGTTATTGTAGTTTTGGTCCAATTTTCTGACGGGTTGGTTCATCCCGGCATATTTGGATCCTATCCAGGCCGACCCAGATCCCCGTACGCTCTCACTCTCTTCTGAGGAAATAGTGGGAAATGCCCG